CTGATAAGGTCAGTGAAATCCCCTCAGGATTAATCCTGAGATCCTGTACCTCAGATTGTAGAACCTTTGTCAGTGTCAGCCATGTGGATGAGTCAAGGCCATTGCTTGGCCAATGTGCTCTCTGTGAAAGCCTGAGAGAATGTTTTCTCTCCATGTGACTCTCCTTAGGCACATTCTACAGAGCCAAAAAATTTAAAAAACATTTGTTTGAAACAAATTGTTAATATTACTTGCTTGTAAAATAATATATAACAATTGAGGCTCTTTTCCCTAGAGATAAGACTTGGGATATTCATGAGTATTTGAATAGTCTTTTTGAAGAATTAAAATCTTGGAGAGATGTATATTGGAGGTTATGGGGAACAATCAACTGGCTGACCTGTTCCAGATGTTTTCAGGTGAGACTTCTTTTTTAATATCCTCTTCTGCAACATTAAAAGAAGGTATCTTGGGGGAGCATGTATGGTGGCCTGGATGGCCAACCCCCAGCGGGGGTGGGGGCATGAAGGACCACATCAAAGGGGACAGGTCAGATGACCACTGCCACCACCACCATCACCACAGTTTGTGACCACAAAGAAGATGGTAGATCTGGAAGCGCAGTTGTCTGATGAGGTGTGTATAGCAGCAAATTCATCACTCATGCCCTTCCTAGAGAGTTTGTGTTTTTTTTTTTTAGTGTGTGTGTGTGGGGGGGGGCAGCTCAGCCCACCAGGGGGCAACCTTGTCTGGCATGTGGTGCTGGGGGATTGAACCTCGGTCTCTTTGCTTTGCTAAGCTTGTTCTAAGTAGGTGCTTTAGACCACTGAGCCATCTCACCAGCCCACTTAGAGAGTTTAATAAGGTTTTTAATAATGTTTAGTTATGGGGGCTGGCCAAATAGCTCAGCGGATTAAAGTGTTTGCAAGCAGGCATAGAGGCTGAGGGTTTGATCCCCATGTCTGCTCTGCCGGCCTCACCCCTGGGGTGCACTGAGATGGCAATTGAGACTGGGCGTGGTGGCAAGCACCCATAATCCCAGCTCTTGGGAGGCTATAAACAGGCAGATCACTATGAGTCAGATCTAGTACGGAGACCCTGAACACCCTGTAGACCCTTCCCTAAAATTAAAAAAACAAAAACAAAAACAAAAACAAAAAAAAACAAAAAACAAGCATATGGGGGGCCAGGGAGATGGTTCAGTGTAATAAGCACTTGCCTGGCAAGCGCAAGGGCCTGAGTTCAATCCCTGGTTCCACCAAAAAAAAAAAAAAAAGCATATGAAGAAGAAAGAACACTACCTGTGACCAGGAAAGATGGTACATGCCTTTAATCCCAGCTCTCAGGAAGCTCAGGCAAAAGGAGTGCAGTGAGTTTGAACCAGCCTAGGCTACATGGTGAGTTCAAGGTCAGTGTAGGCTATATACCCAGACCCTGTCTTAGAACATTACCCAAACAGAGGCTTTATTGTGTATGGTAGAAAAACATAGATGGATAGCAAACCTTTATTATATACATAGGAAGCCACCAATTCCAAGCAGAAAACTAGAAATGGCTTTTGGAGGTCCTTCAACCACTTTGATGGTTAACGTCTTGAAAATTCATGTTTTTATTACAAAGATAGTAATGTTCAGCTAGTAAGTCATAAAGATATACAGGATTCTGTAACAGTGTCTAATGAAGTGCAAATAGCAAAACAGTTTATAAAGATTGTAGAATCTATAGAAAATTAATACCAGACAGTATCCATGAGAATTACCAGACAGTGTCAGACACTGCTCTTAAAGGCAAAGAAATGAAGAGTGCATGAGATGGATCATTTTTGTGTCTATATATTTTAAAAAATTACTGCAAAAATATTCAGAACTGTCAAGCTGCCCAGTCTCATGGGCTATTGCCATTTGAAATCAGTGTAGCTAGTTGGTTTAGAGCACAAAGCATAACCAGTCAACTACTACTTTCATTACTTTTGTTTGAAAAGGTTTAAAAAACATGAGTTCAGTTTGTCTTTTAATTTGTTATTCCTTTCTTACAATGGAGAAATGAAACCTGCCGCTTACCATTAAAATTTTTGAAGTATTACAATAATATTTTACTCAGCATAACCATAAAATTTTTGGCTTATGAAATGGATAACTTTTGATATTAACCTAGTTCTTTTAACAGGGTCAATAGCAGACAATGTAGTTTAAGATGGTTGATGTACTTGGCCACATATGGTACTAAAGAAATTTATCTTTTTTCTCCTCTCACTACTGGGATTCATACAAGATTGAGATGAGAGAAAAAAAAAAAAAAAGAATTTTCTAAATAAACTGTTTAAATCCTTCAGTAGGTTAACAAGCTTACTGTTTAAACATTTTTTAAAAATAAGGCTAAGGTCTATTACTATCTTGAGATTAACTCATGACCTTGTCTCCTTGTTTTATTTTTT